ATTTTCTGTTTATTCGAACACCCTCGTTCGAACGTAGTTTGGAGAGGTGTTGAACCGAATAACAGTTGTTTGATTAGAGGTCAAAAGTGCATCGATCAAATCAACGACGCCGATACCGGCGGCGGCTATTTGACGATCGTTTTTGGTTTCTGCTTTAATCGATCAAATCAACGGCGCCGACATTCGGCGGCGGATATTTGACGGTTGTGATTGACGTGTGTTTTTGTGTTTTTCTTGAAAACCGTGGGCATTTTGGCACGCCCAGTGGGACACGTGTGTTTGATATGGCTCTGCGACGAGGAAAAGAAGATGGTGGTCTTCCACAACGATCCGGGAAGGAGGATCAGATGGTCAACATCGAGATTGACGACGTTGTAGGCGATTCAATCAACAATGATGGAGCGGAGGTGCAATCAGTGGTGCAAATCGCCAATCAGGGTGAGATGCAGCGCATGATCCGCCAAGTAGTGGCTAAACTCAGCAGAGATAGCCAACAGGTAAATCTCATTTTAACTTCTCTTGATAAAAAAATTGATAATCTTGAAAAAAACATAGATCAATGGTTTGATAAGTTGGACGACTCTGTTTCTGATTTTACTATGTCAATACGTGGAGCCACGTATGATTTTGATGTGTTTAAATCTCGAACCATGTCTGTTGTGTGTGAGGATGCGATGGTTGGTCGAATAGCTAATGTCAACCAAACTCCATCATCGACGGCTACAACATTGTTGCCAGAAGTGAGTGAATCCAATGTGTTCTTTCCTGTGAACAACGTTGTTCTTAAGGACCCACCAGGTGGAAGTGGCTTGAAGAAGCCACTACAAAGAAGTCAATATCGGCTTACTTCTAGTAAGATTGAAAACAAGAACCAGGGCCGAGAACCTGGTTACAATCACGTTGAGCATAGCAAGTTCGCGTATGATGGGTTGTCCAAGCAACATCGCAATGGTGTTCAATCCAAACCTTTAGGGGGGCATGATATCCCACTGCATGGAAGATTGAAGGAGAAACAACATCGTGGGTGGCAAAGAAATTCGCCACACCCACCCTGCTCTAGGAAAATTCAAACAAGGGTTGCCACAAACACTCTCAAGTGTGGAGGTGGTGACCACGTGAAAAACCCCAAGGCCACGAAAGTTGGTGTAACTTACCTAGCTCCTTCGTGTAAGTTTTCCCCAAAGCTGGCGCCGAGTGTGGTGGGGGGCAAGTTCAATCAAGCTCGACATGGAGTTGCCACGCCAATGCTGGCTAGGAATAATTTTTCCATGATGTTGGGGCAGGGGGGCAAGCCCAATGCCCGACAAATTCCAAAATCAGGTAGGAGATTAGAAGATACAAAGGTGTGTGATAGATGCAAATATCACGATCAAGGTAAGCATAGCACTCACACACGTGTTAATGAAACCCGTAAACACTTCCAACAACATGGTGAGGGTGCAAAGCTGACAACACCAAATCAGCCTGGCCAAGCGATGCCGCATGGTCGAATTGGCAAGACAAATGTGCTAAAAAACGCGAATGTGCTACCTAGAGCCAAGAATGCTTATGGTTTTCCATTCCGCGAAGCTAAGATTAGGCCAAATCAGGATCATGGAGTTTCGAACAAAGATGTTCAAGCTAGACGCGTTGAAAGGTTGCTATCAAATATTGACTTTGAAACATCAAAGTCAACACGTGTAGAGCCAACTCTGATTGGTCATGGACTTTACGGATGGCTTGCTTGGTTTGATCTCTGGAGTTGGCAGTGGGTGTGTACTTTTGGCAGGATGGTTTATGCCAAAGTTAACCCTGTTTTGTTTAGCTACTATTAAAATAAATAAAATATGGCTAATTTAGGCCACGTATTATATATAAAAAAAATTATTACAAAAATAGAATCAAACGATATTGTTGAGAAGAAGCCACAACTCTATTGTCAATGTTTCAAGATGAGCAATGCAGCGTTGATTGTGGATGTAACATAGCTGCCACAACAGTGCCGCATAAGGGTATGGCTAAAACATCGTCGTTTGGCCACCTGCAGACCTGCTGCAATAATAATAAAAGAAAAATGGCTTAACAATGCTGCCACTCGCTGCTTTGTATTTTACGTATGTAAAAATAATGGCCCGCTGCCGTTTTACGTATGATCAAACAGTATTGCGGGCTGGTACAACAATGTTGCGTAGGAAATTGGCCAAGCACTATCGTTTGGCGCATGCGTTTTTTTTGGAGCGTGTGTGTTTGGAAGAGCAGCAACGCTGCGAAGACATTTAGTTGTATTGGTTTACTTTCTCAAAAGAGAAACCTCGTTGCTCTCAAGTGTGGCCATATGGATTTTTCCTTTGATATGAACAAATGGCCCAAACAAAGGAAGTTAAAGCAGCTGTGCTTTTGCCAAGCAAGGCAACCTACGAGCCAATCTGTATGGCTAAAAATAAAAACTAACAAAGACGTGGCATGGTAAAACAATGCAATTTTCTAGCAACGTTGTTTTTGGTCTCTGCCGTATGATTTGGAATTTATTTTAAGTGGAATAAGTCGTGTCAACAACTTAGTTCATAAGAATTTATTCTTATAAACTAAGTTGTGGGGGGCATAGTTTACACCTAAAATATTTTTGGCCTCAATTCAATGCCGTAATAATGACTCCCGGCATTTAATTCGATATCGCATGGCCAAAACGATGACGTGTGGAGTCGAACAATACCGCGGAGAATTTAAGCGAGACCGCGAAGAGGCTCGGCGGTACCGCGGTTCTTGAAACGACATTGGTTGCAGACCATGTGTGAGTCATGCGCAGGACATGTGTTGTTGTTGGACAAGGAATGTTTTTTATTTTATTTTTTCCTTGTCGGAGGAGGAGAGTAACGGTACCGCATGGAGACAAGCGGTATCGCGGAGAGTTAAAACGGTACCGCGAGTAGGCCCAACGGTACCGCGGATTAGCAAACGACAGTGTTTAATAATAAACAGTGTCGCGGAAGAAAAAACAAACGAAGCTGGTTGGGAAAGAAAACGACACCGCAAGGCTGGAAGCGGAGTCGTTTAATGTTAAAACGATGGCGCGGGTAGAATCAAGCGGTGCTGCTCAGTTAAAAACGACATCGTTTAAGGCATCAACAACGCCGCAGTATCACTAAGCGGTGTCGTTTAGTTAAAAACCATACCACAATGGTTTGGATTTTGGCGAGGCCTGGCAAGCACAACGGTGCCGTTTGGTTGAAAAAGAAACAATGTCGCGGAATGGAAAACGACATTGTTTGTCAGCATCGATTAGCGAAAGGTGATGCCGCGGTATTGGTGAAACGACATCGTTGCATGGACAAGGTTGTAGGATTTGGCTCAATGTCGTTTCGCCAAGTTTCTGCAAACAGGAGCGGTTTCGATGGCACATGATTTTTACGCAAAGCAGAAAGAGGAGATCAAGGCAGTTGAGACACGTGGGATTTCACAACGGAGCAGTTGAGGAAGCGGTTCCACCGAGCGTGAAGACTACGAAGCAGTTTTTCGAATAAAAGCAGTGGAGCAAGGAGAGAGAAAGGGACAACCAAAATCAACACAGATCAACTCTGTTCAAACTTTACCTTTTCTCTGTAACTCCTTCGCGGAGCTCTCCTTCCGGGAAGGATCTCCATAGTTGTAGTTGTAGTCTTAGTCGTAGTCGCGGAGCTCTCCACAGGAATCTCCATAGGAGTAGCGGTAGCGTAGATTCCTCAAAAAGTCAAACACCCTCGTTCGAACGTAGTTTGGAGAGGTGCGAACCGTAGTAACGGTCGCGTTGGTTAGAAGTCAGAGGTGAATCGATTAAATCAACGACGCCGACATTCGGTGGCGGATATTTGACGGTCACGTCGATTTCACCATTCAGAGGTGCATCGATCAAATCAACACCGCCCGGTGGATATTTGACGATCGTCATCGATTTCAGCAAACAGCGGTGCATCCGATCAAACGGCACCGCAAGAGTTTCCATCGCGAAACATCAAATCAACATCGCCGTAAACCAATTCGGCACCGGCGGTGGCATTTGGTTTTTCTGAGGAAACACAGAGGAATAAAACTATGTAGCTAGAGGGAAGTGATGGCAATGGGGCGGGGCGGGGCGGGTACCTCAATTCTCATGCCCCGCCCCACGCTATTACGGGTCGGGGCGGGTAAAATCGGCGCCGGTACGGGGCGGGGCGGGGCGACCCACTCTTACATGCTGTTCAAAAAAAATACAAGTAAATTTTACTTTTTACAATAAAACGTAGGGAAAAACACTTTAAGAATGAAAAATATTGAGAATAGAATGGATAATTGAGCCTAACAAGTTGAAAGATCGACTCTAACTAGTTGAAGAAAAGTCAAAATATGAGAAATATGTATAGATATTGTAAGAAATTGAGATAAAATAAGTCTAGAATGGGGCGGGGAGGGGCAGGACGGGTCGGAAGTAGATACCCATGCCCCGCCCCACGCTACTGCGGGTCGGGTAATACCCGCCCCATCGCGGGTCAGGTCGGTTAATACCCGCGGGGCGGGTTGAAATTGCCAGCTGCTCTATGCATTTATAGTTTATATATATTATTTTCCGGAATAAAAGACAGAGAAAAGAAAGTGGGAAATATGCTGCAGTCAGAGTGTAGACCAGAGCAGAGCAGGAAGGAGAATTATTGGAAAGAGAAGAGTAGTATATATGTACAGTACAGGTATTTTCGCTCTGCTCTATTGTTCAAAATCAAAGGCTACGTGTAAACATGCGGTCAAACCTGAAATGCTCCTCCGACATTCTTGAAAGGAACCCTCTTTTTTCTATTCCCCTTTCGGCCCACCCCCAAAAAGCCCAATCCAAATCCCATCTCTCTCTCTATAAATACCCCAACCTCTGCTTCCCCTTCAGCTATCTCACAAGTCACAACTCAAACACAAACCAACCAACAAATCAATCAATCAATCAAAGCTTTTTCCCAATCAGCCTTGTCGCCCCCCCTTCAATAAGCTAAAGCTGTCCACCTTTTTCATACTAGGCTAAAATGGCGTCCCATCTCCTGGCAGAGATAACTGCGGCCACGGCGGCCGCTGTCCTTTACTTGTGCTGGAAGGTAGTCTCTGCCTTCTGGATCTCCCCTCTCAGAGCTCATTCTCAGCTCCGGCGAAACGGATTCGCCGGCCCAGCTCCCACTTTCCCTCTCGGAAATATCCAGGAAATGAGAAAACTCGCCCTAACCAGCCAAACCACCTCTTCTTCTCCTTCTTCTTCCGACATAATTTCCCATGATATTCACTTAGCCGTCTTCCCTTACTTTGCCCAGTGGCACAACTCCCACGGTAATAATTTATCATCTTTTTTTGTTTTCTTTTAAATGAAAAACATTAAAGGACGTCCATCTTGCGCATAAATTAATATATGTGCATGTGGTTTACGGTACGTGCTAAAAAAACAAAAGACAATTACCACATGGGGCCATGTGTTTTATGAATATTTTTTTATGATATTTGTTTTGCAGGGAAGGTGTTTGTGTATTGGTTAGGGACGGAACCGTTCCTGTACATCGCCGACCCGGAGTTCCTCAAGGCAATGTCCGCCGGAATAATGGGGAAGAGCTGGGGGAAGCCCAGAGTTTTCAAGCAGGACCGGGAGCCCATGTTCGGCAATGGGCTGGTCATGGTCGAAGGTGAAGAATGGGTTCGCCACCGCCACGTCATCACCCCGGCCTTCACCGCTCCCAACTTGAAGGTGCTGCTCACTGCCTACCTATTACTTGTCTAATTCAACCATCTCTCATTTTCTCTTCTTTTGACATATTTATCCACGACAGCTTTTTTAGTACCTTTTGACTTGTCACATTCAAAGAATAAGACCGGAAATTACTAAAAAAAATTATCTCTTGAAACTGAGGGTATACGCATCAACTAATGAAGCTCTTGTCTCAATTATTTTAAAAACAGGCGATGTCAAGCCTCATGGTCGAGTCCACGACCCAAATGCTGGACAGGTGGTCAGACCTGATCGCCGATGGCTCACCGACAATCGACGTGGAAGGACACGTAACCGCGACGGCGGGAGAGATCATTGCCAAGACCAGTTTCGGTGTAGGGTACGAGACCGGGAGGGAAGTGGTGGAGAGGCTGAGGGCCATGCAGCTTGCCCTCTTCAACTCCAACCGCTACGTAGGAGTGCCCTTCAGCAAGGTCATGTGCCCTAAAAAGACCATGGAGGCCAAGAAGCTGGGAAGAGAGATCGACTCCCTTCTTCTCTCCATCATCTCCTCCCGCAAGAACAACATGATGAACAGTAGTTACAGTAAAAACAACAACAAGGACTTGCTAGGGTTGCTGCTCCAGGAGAACCACGTGGATGGGAAGCTCGGCAAGACGTTGACCACGCGGGAGCTCGTGGACGAGTGCAAGACTTTCTTCTTCGGTGGCCACGAAACGACGGCGTTGGCTATTTCCTGGACTTTGATGCTCCTGGCCAAGCACCCCGAGTGGCAAGAGGAGTTGAGAGAGGAGATTAGACAAGTTACTGGAGAGGATAAACAGATTGATTTCACCAAGCTCTCTTCGCTCAAGAAGGTAATTATTTCAAAAACTTCCAACGTTATCGAATGTGGTAAATGTCATCACATCTATATTATTACAAGATTGACAATACTCTGAACATACCAATTCGGTTTTTCTGTAATGGAATTAGGAGACGTGAAAATGAGCATTATTAGCATATTAGCATGCATTATTAGGGTGCATATATGGTGGCTAGTTGGATGGCATATATATGGAGATTGACACATAAACATACAAACAAAAGGAGCCATTGGCTGCCATTTGATGAACCTTATCATGATTAATGGCATTAACATGTGCACTTTTTTTAGCGTTACCGTTCATAAAGCTACAAGGGGGTCCAATTTAGCCTAATTTGCCATGCACGGTTTGTTTGCTTCTGTTATATGATTGGTTGGGTAAACCACAAATGCATAATTGAAAGGAGACGAGTCATTTATTGAGCAGATAAGATATTAATGTGCAGAGGGGGTACAGTACAGATATTTTTCTAATTTATCTTGGAGTAGTTAGCTGGATTTGGAAAAGCAGAGGTTTCTTGATCCTGCCTCAGATGTCCTAAGTTTAACCTAATTAAGTACGCCCACTTTTTGGTGCTTTGAATAATCTTCTTGTGTTTTTATAACCAAATAGAAAGTAGTAAAGCACTAATACATGCCCGAAAGCTTTTGTTTTCCATGCAACGAGTAGTAGTGACAATTCCATTTTTATGGATCAAGATTTTTCCACACGTACGCTGGGATTTGTATTTGTGCGTTTCGAGGGTTGTGACTTGTTCTCGAAACGGCCCAAATGATCTTTTGACCAGAAAGAAATTAGAAACAGTAAGATAAATAGTTTGTGCGGCGAGGCCTAATTGAACCATAAAGGTCAAGGTCAATGCCACGGGGATAAGTCCTCGTACGCGTTCCCCCGTCCACATCGTCAGTCCTCGTGGGTGTCTGTGTATGGTACAAATGGACTATAGTCTATAGAATAGTAACAAAATCCCACTTTTAGTGTCTGCCAAACGTCAAGTTGTTTTTTTTTTCTCTCCCTCTATGTTTTCAGTGCAATTTTGTATTTTTGTCATTAAGAAATTAACTAACGTGTCGCTTTGTGAATGGGCAGATGGGCTATGTGATGAACGAAGTGCTGAGGCTGTACTCGCCGGCGCCGAACGTGCAGAGGCAAGCCAAGGAAGATATCCACGTCGGCAACCGGACGATACCCAAGGGGACGAACATGTGGATCGACGTGGTGGCGATGCACCACGACCCGAAGCTGTGGGGAGACGACGCGTACGAGTTCAAGCCGGAGAGGTTCGAGGCCGACCCTCTGTACGGAGGGTGCAAGCACAAGATGGGGTTCATGCCGTTTGGTTTCGGAGGGAGGATGTGTGTCGGGAGGAACTTGACGATGATGGAGTACAAGATCGTGTTGTCTATGATCCTCACTAGGTTCTCTTTTTCCTTGTCTCCGTCGTACGTTCATTCTCCGGCCATCGTGCTCTCGCTGAGGCCTACTCACGGAATCCCTCTCGTCCTCCGCCCTCTGCAATCGTGATCTTGAAGCTGTTGATTGCTGAGCTCGATCCTCCTTTCTAACATAGCCATTTGATTTGATGTAATGTTTAGGGTGTGTGTGTGTGTTTTTTACCCCCTTTGTGGGGGGTTTTACGTTGTAAAATGGGGAAGGGATTAAAGTAGAAGCTTTGGTTTTATTGTTTTTGCCAACGTGAAGCAACTGGCATGTGTATCATGTAGCTGTCTGTTCTTTCAAGAAAGCAAAGAGCAAGCCCCTGGGAAGAGAGCAACACTTTTCTACGAGTCTTTTTTTTTTTTTTTTTAGGGACAGTAAAAATAATTATTAAGCTCAAGGTAGAGGAGAAAAACCAGACTCCCCTCACAAATGTACAGAAACTGCTATCTACAATATATGACAAAAATATACACTGCCAACACTTCACCTCCTACAAGTACAACCAACCACTCTCATGAAAATCGGGTCAATGCCACATTTGGTCACTGGAATTACTAAATCGTGTTTTGTTTAGTCACTAGAAAAAATTAATATTAATTTTGATCACTCGAATTACTAAATAGGTTATGTTTAGTCACTAAATAGGTTACATTTAGTCACTCTCTCGTTAGCCTCCGTCCAACTCCGGTCACTCGAATTACTATTTTTTTTTATGAATGTCACTCGAATTACTGAAACATGTCACATTTAGTCACTCTCCCGTTGGAGTTGGACGAAATCTAACAGGAGAGTGACTAAATGTGAAATGTTTCAATAACTTGAGTGACCAAAATTGATATTAATTTTTTCTAGTAACTAAACATGACATAATTTAGTAATCTCAGTGACCAAATGTGGTATTTACCCCATGAAAATCAGTCTGCAAATCCACATTCCCTGCAATAGCCAGCTCTATAATACTCTATGAGTCTTATTGTATAGCAATTTTTATTATACCAAAGAAAGTGATTAAGGATATACAGAGTCTCTGCTCTAATTTTCTATGGTTTGGAGATGGAGCGGGAAAAGCTACAGTTGCTTGGGAATCTATTGCTTGGTCTAAGAAGGAGGGGGGACTTGGATTGAAGGATTTAATTAATTACCTGGAATGTGGCATGTTTGGGTCGAATAATTTGGCTCCTTTTTATGCAGGGTGGTAGTTTCTGGGTGGTTTGTTGCTTTCGATACAGGTTGAGAGGGGCCTCAATCTAGGATGTCAAATCTACTGCCTCTGAATCCTGAATATGGCGTCAATTAATGAAACTCAGACCTTGGTTCAAATTCAAAATGGATCTTGATGAGACTGGTAATGTGCTCTAGCTTGGAAAGAAAATGCCAAAGTTTTTTGTTTCAACCATTTGGGAAACTATCAGAATAAAAAAAAACCTGAGGTTCGTTGGTGGAGGATTCTCTGGGGTAAATTTGTACTGCCAAGGAATCGTTTCATTACATGGATGGTTTTCCTTGATCGTATTAAGACGAGAGATAAGCTTAAAACATGGGGTGTTACTGCTGTTACTGATCGTGTGTTGTGTCACAAGTCTGATGAATCTAGGCAACATTTGTTCTGTGAATGTGACTATTCCATTGCTTTTGTTTATGCTCTTATGCGAACGTTGCTTCTCTGCAGCCTCGTTGGGATTATAAGCTTCAGTTCATGTGTAGAAAAGCTTCCCAGGGAGGTCGTGAGTCTTCGATAGATTGTGCTTTTTGGTGCTAGAGTATAAGAAAAGAGAGATGTCGACGCTGCTTTGGGGAGATTCCGAGAGCTCCATCGGTTTTGGCAAAGTTACTCAGGGAAGAGAAGAATTTGTTTGGTTATGGGCTTGTTGATTTTTGTTCTGAGGTTCTTAAGAGTTCTAGTTATAGTCACCTTTGGATAGTTTAGATTCTTCTTTTGGGTTTTCTTCCTGTTTTCGGTTGTTCTCAGGAAGACTGTGGGCTTTTGCCTTCTATATTTTTTTTCCTCTTTTACTTATTGACAAAGAGTGAGTTTTTATTCATAAAAAAAGAGAGTGAGTTTCAATGATAACTTTTAATTTTTTTTTTTGATTTCTCCAGAATTGAAGCTAGTTATAGCATTTCTGAGGAATTGAGATGGAATTTTGATAGAAACCCGCATTTTCATAGTTTTGTTTATTCGGATTACTTTTGTCGGTTTGTTGTCCTTTGAGAATTATTGGGGCAAATTGGGAGTTATTTAATAATTCGGGTAGCGGTAGGGAATTTTCTATTTTATATAAACTACTTATACACGCGAATTAACCACTAAGCAAGATTAAACCCTAAAAGTATTCTCTAATCCTTCCTCTCTCTCTCTCTCCCTTCCGAAATCCTCTTCTCCCTCTCTATTGCTGCTGTGGCAGCCTTCTTCTTCCACTTCCCATCAATTTTCAATCCCCATTCTCTATCCCAATTACCTACAGAATAGTTAATCACCACCTTGGTGATTCACTTCCTTCCACCAAATCCCTAAACTCGATAGAACCCAATTTTGGGTTTCTATCATCTGGTATAAGAGCCCCATTCTGATCTAAGCAAATCACCAAAGATCAAGGTCACGTTATGGCAGTGATGAAAACTCAGAAGGCTGCGGAGAAAGCCGCGAGGAGGCGGCCTGGCAGAAGGCGATCGCGACCACCGCGACGACGGGGCAAGGCAGCGGTGATGAAGGCGGGCCGGCGGCGGTTGCTGCTACGGTGGAACGGAACCCGCTCAACCCAACGACTCAAGTCCTGGAGTCGGTCAGGATGGTGGACGAGACCGGGCTGGAAGAACTTCACATCATAGTGGGCGAACTCTAGGTTGTTGTGAAGAGACTGATGGTAGATCGGGAGGTAGTGGAGGAGAGATGTCGCGAAGAGATGGATGAAATTCGGCGAGCCCTAAGCAAACTGATGCGGGATGCGGAGGCGAGACAAGGCAATCCGCCAAGGATCGAGACCCCGGTAGACCTCGGGCGTGAGGGTGGGGAAGCGCCGATCGCGGCAGCGGTGACGGGAGAGGCGGCAGCGGCCGGAGCCGCAAAAGGGGCGGCGGCGGCGACGGTGGCCATAGGAGCAAGCGGGTCGGCCGCCTCGGCCATCGGGCTAGGGCTGGAGATAGGGCGTGCAGGCCGAGTTCACTTTGGACCCAACAATGGGCGGGGCCTGCTTCCAACCCCGACGACCCATGAGATGACGGCCCGGCGGGGCAAGGCCAAAATGCCGGGCTATGACAAAGTGGGCCCACTGATCCATGAAAAAGAGGGGAGCCGGACCTGGGTGCCTAACGGGCTAGGATGGTTGGGCCCAGAACCAACCCAAGAAGAAGATGAGCTTAGTCTGGCGGGCCGGCCAGAGAAGTGGGCCGAACCCAACAGAGGGCAACCGGGTCAGACCAGAGGTGGGCGATCGACTAGGGCGGGTTCGGGTCGCATCAGACCGGGCGAGGCGAGTGGACCAGAATCGGTCCGACGGGCTCTGGTGGACTCAACCGGGTCGAACCGGCATTGAACCGGCTTGGGGTAACCAGAAGCAGGGCGGGCAGAACTAGGGGTTCCCTATGGGATGTCGTGGATCATGTAGCGAGGCAGGAGGCTTCCAACCGTCGCGCGTGGGACCGGACGGACTGGGGCGAGTAACCCCGGACTCGAGGAGCCAGTATACCTGGCCACCCGGAGGCGAGGAGGGAGCCAAATACATGAACCGAGGGCCGAGAAATCCGCACAGTGGAAGGTATGCTGGGTATGACCGCTTTAATGATGTGGATGATGACTTAGTTTTCATAGCTAAGCCTCCAACCATTGAATTTCCGAAATTCATTGGGCAAGAGGATGCAGGATTGTGGTTGTATGCAGCAGATAGGTGGTTTAAGAGCCACCCGACTCGGGAGGAGCGGAAGGCGCACCTGACATCCTTCAATCTGGAAGGTGACGCGTTGCATTGGTGGGAATGGTTGGAGAGGTCATACGCTGCTACGGGAACTTTGATCACGTGGCCGATGTTCCAAGAGGAACTTCGTTATCAGTTCGGAAAATCAGAGGGATGGGCCCCCGAGCAGCTAGCTAAGTTGAGGCAGACCGGAACAGTGACGGAGTATCTGTCGGAATTTCTCAAGCTGGGGAATCAGTGCAAAGGGGTTCCGGAAGAAACACTGGTGGGCCTATGTTTGGCAGGCCTAAAGCCGGAGATCGCGGCAGCTGTCTGGGTGTTTGAACCCGACTCGGTAAGAACTGCTTTCCGTTATGCAGGTCACAAGGAGGAAGAACTTGTCAGCTGTAGGAGCGTCATCGACCGTTACCCGAGGCCGAGCGGAGGGGCGAGCAGCAACCCCGCGGGCAGTGGGGGAGGTAGTGCGGCCGCAGGAGCGAGAACCGGAGCTGCAGGAGAAGATCCGCCACCACCACCGGCGGCGATAGGGCCAAGATCGGGTCCTCGCCCTCTACCGAAGGGCTTCATCAGGCTGACACCCGCTGAGATTGAACAGAAGCGCCGGGAGGGCAAGTGCTTCAACTGCAATGAGCGGTTCACCGTCGGTCACCAGTGTGCAAGGCCAGATGTGATGATGTTGGTGGGACGATGGGAAGATGAAGCAGAGGACGTGGCAATGGAGGTCTTGGAAGAGAAGCAGTGAGCTCAAGTCAACCTTGAGGACAAGGTTGTTTCCAAGGAAGCGGGGATGATAGAAACCCTCATTTTCATAGTTTTGTTTATTCGGATTACTTTTGTCGGTTTGTTGTCCTTTGAGAATTATTGTGGCAAATTGGGAGTTATTTAATAATTCAGGTAGCGGTAGGGAATTTTCTTTTTTTATATAAACTACTTGTACGTGGGAATTAACCACTAAGCAAGATTAAACCCTAAAAGTATTCTCTAATCCTTCCTCTCTCTCTCTCTCTCTGCCGAAATCCTCTTCTCCCTCTCTATTGCTGCTGCGTCAGCCTTCTTCTTCCTCTTCCCTATCAATTTCCAATCCCCATTCTCTATCCTAATTACCTACAGAATAGTTAATCACCACCTTGGTGATTCACTTCCTTCCACCAAATCCCTAAACTCGATAGAACC